TGCCTCTCCATCTCTACTTTAGGTGAATATGTGACCCAGTGTTGTGAATGGGAAAAAATTACAACAAAAAGTGACCTTCATTTCCCAAGCAGAGTGTCAAGGCCCTATCACACTAGTACTCTTTCCATCAATTTTTGTTTCCGTCTGAATTTAAGGCTTTCCGCGTCTCGCATGCAAACAACATGAACTACGACTCCTACACTGTGTGGTCACGCACGAATTTCCGCCTAGTTATTGCGCAACGGACGTAATTTACACCTAGAAAAAAATATTGATAAATTAGACAGATTTTGCTAATATAAAGAGAAGTTTAGGTTCTAGAATATGTCCATATGCAATTTACATAATTCTATTTCTTTAAAATAACGTATGATTGGAAATCCTCGTGTATTTTCCGGGACATCACTCGGATGGCGGTGTGTTTGTTCAAGGTCTATATAAGTACTTATATAGACCTTGTGTTTGTTTACATGGGCACTCTTCGCTGCCTTGGTAGTATGACAGGGTCGGTCCATTTCCACACGAAAAGTTCATGTCATGAATAAAACCGGAAAAAAATGCTAGTGTGATAGGTTCTTATTAGAGAAAACTGAACCTTGCTATCTCTAATAACACCCCTTCTTACAGCCGCCAATGTTCTCTTCGGCTACCTGTACACGCGGAAGAAATTCGCTTGGGACTACAACACCTACACCGTGTGGTCCGTGATTGACCTGCCTCTCTCCTCGCTGGGTGCGTGGGAGGGTTGATCGCGCGGTTCTGTGCGGGAATGTCCAGGAAAAGGGTTTGGTTGCGATTCATGTCAGTGTTCTGTAATGACTAGCAGCATTGATTTAATAAGTTCCATTAATTTATTATCCTTCGTTTCACCAATATATATAACCCCCTCCCCCATACACACACAATGCACACACACACGCACACACACACATATATATGTATATATATACATTTATACATATATATGTACGACCAAAGAAATTCAAATGCTAACTGAACTCCAACTCCGTAGGTGTTCTGATCTGCCAGCCGATCCTGAACTACTACTGGCGGGTGGAGGACAGCATCCTGGCTCTCGCCGGCGGGATCTCGCATCTCTTCTACTACACTCTGGTGGCCACAGCGCCCAGGCCGTGGGTGCTCTATCTAGGTGAGGTCGGCGCCAAAGTCTGCTCCCGAGCTCTCTCCTCTTGTTTCTTTGTCTCCTCTATATCCTCTGTTCTCTGTCTGTTTGTCTGAATTTCTCCTACCTCTCTCTGTCTATTTGATTATGTAGTTAACAAAGAGGTAAGGAAGAAGGGGTAGATATATTTTCCTCTTTCCTTTATTAACCACTTACTTATAAACTCTTTCTTTCTATTTTCGTTTCTCTCTCTCTCCCTGTGTCTCTCTTATTGTCTGCCTTGCCTGCCCCCCCCCCCCGCCCCTCCCCTCGTCTCTCCTCCTCTCTTGCTCCACCTCCTTCCCTCCCTCCCTCTCTCCTCTCCCTCTGCCTCACCGCCTCCCTCCTCCCTCGCCTCCCGCTCCGCTCCCTCCCTCTCTCCTCCTCCCCCTCGCCTTCACCGCCTCCCTCCTCCTTCCCCTCACCTCTCCCTCTCTCCCTCGCGCCTCACCGCCTCCCTCCCTCCTCCTCTCCCCTCCTCCTCCCTCCTCGCCTCACCGCCTCCTCCCCTCCCTCCTCTCCTCCCCCTCGCCTCACCCTCCCTCCCTCCCTCTCTTCCTCCTTCCTTCGCCTCACCCCTCCCTCCTCCCTCTCTCCTCCTCCCTCGCCTCCCGCCTCCTCCCCTCCCTCCCTTCTCTCCCCCCTTCCCCTCCCGCCTCCCTCCCTCCCTCCCTTTCTCTCCTCCCCCTCGCCTCATCTCCCTCCCTCCCTTCTCTCTTCTCACTCCCGCGCTCTCCCTCTCCTCCTCCCCTCCCCTGCAGCTCCCTTCTTCCCCACTCTCTTTCCTCCCCCTCGCCTCACCGCCTCCCTCCCTCCCTGCTCTCCTCCTCCCCCGTCGCCCAGGCCCTCCATCGATCACCCCCCCTCCTCCCCCTCCTCCCCCTCCTCCACCCGCCTCCTCTCTCCCTCTCTCTTCCCCCTTCGCCTCACCCCTCCCTCCCTCCCTCCTCTCCTTTCTCCCTTCTCGCCCTCACCGCCTCCCTCCCTCCCTCTCTCCTCCTCCCCTTCGCCTCACTCTCGCCTCACCGCCTCCCTCCTCCCTCTCTCCTCCCCTCTCCCTCATCGGCCTCCCTCCCTCTCCCCCTCCCGGCCTCCGCCGCGTCCCTCCTGTTCCGGCCCTCCAGGATGACCTCCTCCCGCGGCGCCCTCTCCAAGCTGGTGGGGCGCGAGGAGCAGGGGTCCATCTTCGCGGTGACGGGCGCCGCCGAGGCCCTGCTGCCCGTCGTCGCCTCCCTCTGCCTCACGCCCCTCTACGACGCCACCCTCGACGTCTTCCCCGGCGCCGTCTACGGGGTGTGCGCCGCCCTCAGCCTCTGCGTCTGCGTCGTGCTCGTGTGAGTTTGGACTCTGGCGTTTCCTCTTGGCTCCAATCTCTTTCCTCTGGTTCTTGCTTCTTCCTCTTGCCTCGTGCTTCCGATCTTTCCTCTTTCCTCTGGTTCTTGCTTTTCCTCTTACCTTTTTTCTTTCCTCTGTTTTTTCCTGATGATCCCTCTTCTTCTTTCCTCTTTCTCTTATATCTTGTCCTCGCTTCTTCTCCTCTTGCTCTTGCTTCTCTTTTTTTCTGTATAGTTATTCTTGCTCTTCTGCCTTCACTGTTTATAGTAAACAATGATGGAAAAAACAATGGCGATAGATTACACCAGTGATATTAATTGAGATTGTGGGCAGATGAATAATGTTGAACGCAGGATCGGAAACCCAACAGGCGTAGCATTCTTTTGCAGAAAATTTCGACCTGTAACGAGAAAAATAACAAAGGAAATCTTAGTGGAAATCCAAAGATGTAATATGCAATGAACATCCAAGCAAAAACAAATATAATAGTAAATTAATATGAAATGAGCAGAAAGATCTGACTAAACGGATCAGTAGTAAATGGTACAATCTTATGTTAAGAACACATTTTCCACATTACAAAAAAGCTAACAAAACATTCGCCATATGTAAAGATTAACATTCAGACACCTAGAGTTCAAAATAATATATCACAGAAAAATTTACACAAATATGGATTTTACATGATCTGCAAAATATAGAATATTACTCCTAATCTACGATTCCTTTTGATTTGATCACATAACATTGCATTCAGAATTACATCACATACAGGAAATAGACCAGAAATAGTGTTTGAAATGGAAATGAAAACATTGATCGGAACACTAAATTAATAATGTATCCTAATGTATCATTTGTCCTAGCAGTCCGACACACACACCGTCATCTGTACACTGGGCCTGATATCTGAATGTACACAGATATTCCAGTAGGGAACATAAAACATAAAACACCACGATACACATTACATTGCTTGTATTTATGAATATTTTCGTGATTGAATTTCCATATCCAATTAAGTATAACACAAGACTCGAATCTTGAATGCACAGACCATGAACATTCGTATCTCACAGAAGATTCCACAAAAAAATTTGATTTTAGATCCCGATCGACTACCAAAACAACATTCTTCCCGCCCGTTCGCCAAGACGGAACAACAAAAGACAAGAGGGATGCGCACCATAGAAAATTAAATACAATTTCTTACTTCTGAAAAAAGTTACATAGCAAATATGTTTTTATGTCAATGATAGATAATAATAAATATCATGTTAATGATACAACTACTATTACTACTATAACTATTATCACTACTGTTTCTACTTTTTACTTTATCAGTTTTATTATTACTACGACAACAATGAAAAAAAAGATTATTACAACATCATTGATGTTGATAATCTTTTTATTTTCTATCATTATCATTATCATTATTTCTTTAATCATTACTAGAACCATTATTTTATTGTAAACAATATTTTATTAACATTAACATCATTATTATTTTATTTTCACTATTTATCGCTTTTAGTTTCATTAATAGTGTAGTATACCTATTATTCCATTTTACTATTATTATTCATATATTATTATCAATTAATCATTATTTATCATATTATTTTCATTATTTTTCAAAGGTTATGGTTGGGATTTATTTTTGTTATTTTATCATCAATTACTATATTAATCACAATTTATTGTTTTTCATTATTTTCGATGATTATCATTACCTATCAATCATTGTCTATCACATTTGGGTTGCTAATCATTTTTATAATGAATAATCAGGCATTAACCCAACTATGAAGATACTAGCAACAATCTTATACAATAGCGCAATAATAACAATTGTTAGAAGTAACACGCCAATGTGATAATTTTGATAATTGATAAAACCTTAATCATTTTGTCTTACATTGATTCATCAATGATCCTACGGCAACATTTAATTTAATAATTAATAATAATTTATGATAATAATTTAATAAAAATAGTAATAACAATTTTAATTTAAGCGAATAAACATTTATCTATTCAGAAAAATAAAAAAAAAGATAAAGTTTGACGTTCTGGCAACCTTTTCCAGATGTTTCTAACACGACCGTCACCCTTCCGAAGGACGTGTTCATCAAAGGGATAGAAAAGTGTAATACAAGAACAAATATAAATCTGGAAAGTTTTTCTGTCGACCGAAGGAGGGCGAAGAGAAGAGTTGGAGGACAATTAAATAGATTAGAATAGATTTAGGAAGAGACGAGATGAGTAGACGAGAGAATAGAGAGAGAACGATGAGAGAGGAGGAGAGAGAGAGAGTAGAGATTCGTTAGAGGAGATTGAGACTGCAAGCGGTATTGAGAGAGAGAGAAAATGATGAGAGAGAGAGAGAGTAAGAGAGAATGAGAGAGAATGAGAGTTAAGAGATGGAGAAACTGAGAACGTGGAGTAGAATGAGGATGGTTAGAAACAGTCGAGATGAGAATTGAGAGAAGAAGAGATGAGGAAGAGAGACTAAAGAGTGTTGAGGAGAGAGACGAGAGGAGAGAGAGGAGAGAGAGTGAAGATAGATATAAGGCTAAAGAGAGGAGAGAGAGAAGAGAGAGATAGAAGAGATGAAGAGAGAAGGCGAGAGAGAGAATAATAGAGAGGACGAAGTGACGAGAGAGTTGATGTAGAGACGTAGAGAGAGAGGAAGAGAGAGATGAATGTAGATAGATAAATATTATATAGAAGACTAGATGAAAGAGAGAGACATGATGGAAGAAATGAGAGAGAGAGAGAGAGAGAGATGAGAGAGAATCGAGAATGGAGAAGAGTGATTCTAGATTGAAGAGAGACACAGATGAGAGAGGAGTATCTAATTAATCGGAGAGTTATACATATCTTAAATGCTAAGAGGTAGTATTGGTTAATTGTAATATTGAAGATTATGGATTATTAGTGGAAGTACGATGAGAGAGAGAAGGAGAGAGAAGACGAACTGTAGAGAGAGATGAGAGATGAGAGAGATGAGAGAGATGAGATGAATGACGACAGGAGGATCGATAAGGAGAGAGGAGATGAGAGGAGAGAGATGGATTTCATGAATAGATATATAGGAATAAATAAGGAAAGACGCGATTGGAGATGAGAGATAGAGAGAGCAGAATGGAGGAAATGAAGACTGTGAGATTGAGAGGAGAGAGAGAGAATGAGAGAGATGAGTGAGAGTGATAACGTGACAGGTGAGAGTGATTGTGGAAGTGAGAGAGAGAAGAGATTGGGGATATGAGAGATGATGAGACGAGATAGAAAGAGTGTGGCAGGGATGAGAGGAGAGTAGTGAGTGAGAGAGAGAGAGGAAAAGTGAGGATGAATAATAGATAGTAAGGAAGAGAGAAGGAGAGAGAGAAGAGAGAGAATAAGGTAGAGAGATATGATGAGGAAGAATGGATGAAAGATGATTAGATTGAGATTGATGAGAGAGAGAGAGGGAGACGAGAGATGACGATGAGAGATGAATATGATAGATAGAATAAATAGAAGAGAGAGATGAGATGAAGAAGGAGAGAGGTAGTGAGAGATGAGGAGAGAGATATGAGATGAAGAAGAGAGAGAAGATAAGAGAGAGAAGCGTGAGATCGAGAGAGAGAGAGAGAGAGAGAGAGAGAGTGTATCGGTTTTTGTGTCTTGTTTTATTTAATTATTGCTGGGTCTGTTTTGCGTTTGCTTGGCATCCATGTAGTTCATAATCTCATTATTCTTATCATCAATATGATTTAGTAATAATAATAAAGCTGATAAAATTTATAGTAACAATGTTGATTATGATAACGATGATAAAGATGAGAACAACAGTGACAATAATGATGATAATAACAATGAATACAATGATATGAATAGTAATAGAAATAATGATCATGATAATGATAATGATAATATTTAGAACATTGCTAATAACAACGATGACAGCTATAAAATCAACAATAATAGTAATGCTAAGTGATAATAGTGATGATGGTAATGATAATTATAACAAAAATAATAATGATAATAATGATATAATGATAAATAATGATAATAATGGTGATGATGATGATTAATAATAATAATGATGATAATGATATTGATAATGATAATAATAGTAATAACAAAAATAATGATGATAATAATAGCAAAAATGATAATGATGAAAATGAAAATGATAAAAATAATGATAATACTGCTAAGAATGATGATGATAATAATAATAATAATAATGATTAATATAATAATAATAATAACAATAAATGATCATAATGATTGTAATAATAATAATGATGATAATGAGAAAAAGGTGAAAATAATGATAATGACGATAATAATGATAACAATAATAACAAGAATAATGATAATAATAATGGTAATAATAATAATGAGATGATGATAATGACAATGTTAATAAGGATAATAATAATGACAATAATAATAATAACAATGATAATAATGATAATAATAATAATAAGAAGAATAGGATAAATGATGACAATTGTATTGATAATAAAAATGATGATAATAATAATAAGGATAATAATGATCATGATATAGTAATGATAGTATCAATGATAACAACAATAGCAACAACAATAAAGGAGAAGAGGAGGAGGAGGAGGGGGTGAGAAGGAGGAAGGGGGAAGGATGAGGCGGAGAAGGAAGAGAGGAGGAGGAGGAGGAGGAGGAGGAGGAGGAGAGGAGGAGGAGGAGGAGGAGGAGGAGGAGGAGGAGGAGGGAGGAGGAGGAGGAAAGGAAAAGGAAGAAGAAGAAGAAAAAGAAGAGGAGGAGGAGGAAGAGGAGGACGACGACGACGAGGAAAAGAAGAGTGAGAGAGAAATATGAGAGTGAGAGCGAGAGCGAGAGAGAGCGAGAGAGAGCGAGAAGAGAGAGAGAGAGAGAGAGAGAGAGAGAGAGAGAGAGAGAGAGAGAAGAGAGAGAGAGAGAGAGAGAGAGAGAGAGAGAGAGAGAGAGAGAGAGAGAGAGAGAGA